AAAAGACATTACAATTTATGCCATGCTACTATTTTAGAAAATCGTAACTGATAGATACTGGGCGAAACGCTTCGGAATGTTTGGATAAAAAATAGGGTGCACGCTTGATCCAGTTTGGGATACATTATTGACTGCTTTCGAGAATGTAATTTCGTTTGTATAGTTTGTTTAACCAGGGGTTACACAATCGTCACGTCGGTCATAGATGGCTGTGATAGCCTAAACAATGCGTAAAGAGCAAATCGAAACATGGAACGTCGCGTGATTTGAAAGATCGTCGGTTGCAGTGGTGCCAGTTCCATTCATATTAAAAAGATTTGTGGTCAAATAACTTGTTTATCGTGTATTCTGCGAAAGTAGTCGCCGGGTTTGAATGGTAACCCGTAACGTGGGTAGATCACCTTTTCGTGGTACGTTACGGTATGTAAGATCTACCACCGATTCCTATTCCTGACTACTTCAAACTAGGGGAACAGGATTTTTCAGTAATCCAAGGAACACATCTTAGTCCTTGTTACTGTTTATGCCTTGTTAATAGTGACAAGACTCGGCTTTGTCCACCGAGGATGATCTTGAAACAAGGAAAAAAATAGTTAGTTAGCCTTCACCTATGTGATTCCTAATCTTCTATTCGTTGTTCTCTAGTTTGAAGTGGTTAAGACTAGGGTTCTGATGCATGGTCATTATCGGTGTCATTCCTTAACTTTTTTGCTAAGGAATCCAATTTTGACTGACAAAGGGGCGCGCCTTTGAAGGGTGTTTCAACACTCCAAAGGGTATAAATAGCGGAACCTTTCAATTAGAGTCGGATCCATGCGATAAATGTAAGAATGACAACTGTGAAAAAAATCGAATACTTCATCATTTCTCAATAGTGATGGAGTAATACGACATGCACTAAACTAAGGACTCGGGATATACTACAATAGATCAAATAATTGGTCGCAGTGGTCTTAGGTCCCGAACAGAGGAGAATAAAATGGTAACAACAACTTGAGTAACGGTATATTGTGATATGAGGGGCTCGGCCCTTAGGGCGACCGTTTTTGCTTACTGAGCAGAACATCATGAGTCTAATCTCAGGCCCATTCACATTCAAGATTCGTCAATCGTTTTATTTATTAATATGACTACATGGTAATAACAGCAACTCGATGATACAAAAAGAGCTCGTTTGCCTAGTGGCAAACGTTTTCGCTTACTTAGCAGAAGACCATGCGATCATATCCTTCACGTTTTATGATCGTTAGGACATCAATTCAGTTTATAATTTACCAAAACGTACACTTTTTAGGACGTTCTTTTAAAGGGTGATACGGTCAAAATTTGGTCAAGGGAAAACGCGTGTAAATCGGTGAAATCGTTTATTTAAAAAATCAAATTAAATTTCTTTTTCAAGTTCAATTAGTATAAAATTCAGGAAAAATATTCCGTTAGGCTTCCGCTTTTCCAAATCCGAATTGCCGGGCCTTACACTTGACCCCTGCCATCAGATTTTGTACAGCCACCTTGTCCACCTTCTTCGCCGCAGAAAGCCAGTTTGCCTTGAACTGCTGCTCGCCCTTAGCAGTTTTTTTGGTCTTCTTTAGGTTCCGCTTGACAATAGCCCAGTATTTCTCAATTGGGCGGAGCTCTGGCGTGTTGGGAGGGTTCTTGTCCTTGGGAACCATCTGCACGTTGTTGGCGGCGTACCACTCCATGGCCTTTTTACCGTAATGGCAAGATGCCAAATCCGGCCAAAACAGTACGGAACAACCGTGTTTCTTCAGGAAAGGCAGCAGACGTTTATTCAAACACTCTTTCACGTAAATTTCTTCGTTGACAGTCCCGGAAGCTATGAAAATGCTGCTTTTCAAGCCACAGGTACAGATGGCTTGCCAAACCAGATATTTCTTTGCGAACTTTGACAGTTTCATGTGCTTGAAAACATCTGCTACCTTTCCCCTTCCTTTTGCCGTATAAAACTCCTGTCCCGGAAGCTGCTTGTAGTCGGCTTTGACGTAGGTTTCGTCGTCCATTACCACGCAGTCAAACTTCGTCAGCATCGTCGTGTACAGCCTCCGGTATCGCGCTTTGGCCGTCGTATTTTGTTTATCATCGCGATTTGTAGTCACTACCTTCTTGTAAGTCGATAGTCCGGCTCGTTTTTTGGCTCGATGCACGGTTGTAGACGATACACCCAGCTTATTTGCGGCATCTCGGAGAGAGAGGTTAGGGTTTCGCTTGAAACTACCGGCAACTCTCTTTGTCGTCTCAGCGGCTTCCGGTTTTCGATTTCCCTTCGATCCAGACTTCCTGGCTGTCGAAAAACGTTCCCCAAACACTTTAATTACATTTGTAACGGTTGATTTGGCAACTTTTAGCGATTTTGCCAACTTTGCGTGCGAGTCAAAGTGAGTTTTCGCAAACTTTTCCATCACTGGTCTTTAGTAACAAAAAATAGCCATTTGTCCAGCAAATCCATTCTTCTAAAAAAGCACAAAAAACAACTGATATATTATCGATGAGCCCAATCTTCAGTCCAAGAAGCAAACATTGATGTTTGGTTTCTTTGTTGAGGCTCTATCGCCATGAACCAGTGGGTATGTTTCTGCTGAGATATACTGCAGGCTTCCAACGAAGCACACAGTGCGCCTAGATAGAAACGGATAAATCTGACAACTACTATTTCTGATTGTTTGTTATTCAAAATATAATCATGGAAATACACATTTTGTTGCTGTACATCTAACGACTAACATTTGAAAATGGTCTACATTGTTGAAAATTCATAATTGCTATTTTTTTAAATCAGAAATTAACTTGAGAATGGCTGGACTTAGGAAGAAAGAAATGTTTTGTGCACATCTATCAAAAATGCTACGTATATGCTAAAAAAAAAAATATTTTTCTAAGAAAAACGCAATTTCATTAAATTGTTAAAATCAACAAAAACAAGAACGTTTAATTACCTACAACTTCTTTTCAGATCTCATTTTGATTATGTTATAATTACGATTAATGTTAAGATTTCTAGAAAAATTATAATAAATTTTTGAATACACTCTTTTCAACAGTAACTCATGAGAAAAAAATGCTTTGATGAAAAATGCAACCATTGGTAGCAGCAAACATGTCAGCAATGTTTCATTCAAACCGGAAGGGGTCGAGAAAAAACTGACATTTTTTTAGCGTTTTGTGCTGGAAAATTTCCAGGAAATGCTCTTAGGGGACTTTATTGCAACCCCATTCTAATTTATCTTTTTAACCGAAATATGGGGGGTCATAAAGAGGAACATAATAGGAATTGGTTGCGCAGCTTGAAGCAATGAGTATACGGTATTAGACAAAATATTCCGGAATTACACGCAATGACGTAACTTTTAGGATTTGGCTTCAAAACCAGTAACATTGTGAAAATTTATCCCAAAGTCCATAGTTAACTATAATATTTGTTGTAATTGATCCATAATACCATTAATGAGATTTAATATGGGTCATTCCAGCTCAAGTGGGTACATCACCTACGGTTGATGTCACCTATTTGAGCCAAACTTGGCCAAAACGCTTATTTTGGCATTCTGAACAAACGGCTTCTTTTATTTTGCTCTGAAGTGCCTAGATTCCTCTCAGCTACAACCCTGGATTTTCGAGATTTAAAAAAAAATCATCTTTCAGAAGAGATTACTTACTTACAACCAAATAAGCTATTTGTGATCTTAGAACGTCAATTTGAAGGTTTTTTATGTAGATTCTTATAGATGAACCCACATTTTGTTCTTGTTATAATAACTACAGTAAACAGGCTGATCACCGGCAGACGTATCAAAATTGTAAAAAATGGCCTATTTTCACCATGGCCAAGATTTTTTATTGCTTAATATTTTGGGCTCAAATTTTCACCACACTTTGGAAAACTTTTCTACTTATTGTGTTTCCAGGGGAAAAAGATTTGGACAAATAGTTTTCGAGATATGACCAGATGAGTGAGTGGTATGTTTTTCTGGTGGAAAAATCAATGCTATTTTTTCATTGTACTTCTAAAGCACAACGTTTTGGCTGTATCCTATAGGAACTTGAGCTGGAATGACCCATATATATATTTAGAGAGTTTTGTACAATTTTTTTGAATTTTATCGCTTAGTTTGTATATTCATACCGAATACTTTTTCGAGCATGATGCATAAATTGAAACTGCCTACCGTATACTTGTTGTGGCAACTGGTCGTAAATTTTGAACGCCTTTTACAATTTTCTATTAAACAAACTACAAGGGACAGCCCTATGGGATTGTACGCAATGGCGACATACGACTACGTGGTCTTATATAATACATCTTATTTGTTAACTGCTTTGAGCGGGGTTGTCTCTGCTTATACTCTTTAGTATGACGCACTTGACATAGATGGCCCACAGCGACTCACGAAGAGCTACTGATTCCAATCAATAGCGGTGCGGCAAGAAGCCTTCTTCTATGGATGCTAATATTGGCTGCAGCTTGAAATCTGTGTTAGGGAAATTGCTTTTTGCAGGCAACTGATGATAATTTTAATTATCATAGCAACCGTTGCACACTCGTGCAATTTCCAATAGTGACATTTTGAAAAATGATAAAGAAATATAGCTTATCGATTGGTGATAAAATTATGAAAATTAGTCCAGGGGCAGCTGAGTTATTAACGTTCAAAATCTTTCATAATTTTATTACATGTTCCATTTTTGGTTTCCACAAAGTGTACTCCCATATAGAAATCATAGACGTAGTCCTACGTCAAAACGGATTGTCATCAAGTTATGAAAATAGATTTTATACATAAAAACATTTCCTACTTTATTAATCATTACATTTTGAGAAAATTGATTAACAGCAAAAATACTCGAGTAGAACTTATCAATAATTACAGTATAAAAAATATAAAGTCTGTGGCACAAGTAGCTTGCCATCGCATCTTAATTTTCTAAGTAATAATTGCCGCTATTCATTTTGTTGAAAGCTGCCCTTCGATCAATCTTTGATGAAGGATAACTTTCTAAAGGAATATCTCCTCCAACAATATCACACCTTGTTTTGAACTATTGCAGTTTTTTCAGTGGGCCGCCATCCAGATTTGAATGCATTTTCAATCTCCTGCAGGGTACGGTTTTTCGTTTCCGGTAATATCATGTACAGAAGCAACGTTCCGATCAATGAAATTATTCCATAGATCATGAAAGTACCATTAATTCCGACTGTGGAAAACAGTGATGGACCCGTTTTTATCACAACGAAGAAGCAAACAAAATTAAATGAAGAAGTCAATCCAGTCCCAATACCCCTGGTTGCAACAGGGAATACTTCACCGCTCATGCACCATGGTAGAGGAAACAGTCCAATACCGATGAATATGATGTAACTGATTAAGAAAATCAATGCCATCCAGGAGATATTCTGATAGACTGGAATGCTGGTTTGAAAGTAAAGGAAAATAGATAACCCTATGAGGCTTATAGTTGTGCCACTGCCGCTCAACATAGCCAACGGTCTTCGACCAAACATTTTGAGAAGGGCACATGCTATTAGGGAAGTAATAACTCGAACTAAGTCTACAATCAACATGGCCAAGTATTCATTGATATTGCTGCCGATGGTTGTCTTCATCAGTGAAATGGAATAGAATGCAACAATGTTTACTCCAGAAAACTGCATTGTGAAGAAAAACACCAACAGTGTGATGAGTGGTAAAATAAATTCCTTTTTTAGCAAATTTTCCTTGAGAGTGGGCATTGGATCCTGTGAACCTCCAGCCGTACATGATCCACTATAGTTTGCTACCATATCTTCGAATTCTTTCATTGCTTCCGCATCATGTCCTCTTAGCCAACGGAAGGCAGATTCGGCTTCACGTCCTTGTCCCTTGGACATGAGCCAAGACGGGCTCTCAGGACAAAACACTACAAATACATAACTAACTACCATGAAGAATGAACAGTACAAAGCAGCCATCTTCCAATGGAAAAATGTGCCAAATAAGTGCGATAAGAATATTCCAAACGATACGGCAAATGTTACACCCGCCAGCAATATTCCACGATATCTCGGATGGCTGGTCTCTGCTATGTACACAGAAGCTGGCGGTCCAACTAGTCCGCAGCTGAATCCAGTAATAAATCTTCCCACCAAGATCATATCATAAGTCAACGCCACAGATAACACGCAGAATCCAACGGCAAAAGAGATACTCAAAATTAGATGCGTCACTTTTCGCCCAAACTTTTCCATCAGGAAGCCACCCAAAAGGCATCCAGCCGCCATCGGAAGAGGTGCCATGGAAGCAATCCACGACGATTGATCGTTCGTAATCTGGATGGTACTTTCCGGCTTCTGTAATTGTGGCAGCAAAATCGCCGAGAATCCATTGGTCATCCCGGCTGCAACACTAGCGATGATGGGCCCCGTTGCTGCGATAATCTAAAATATAGGTCATGATTATCAAAACAAGGAAAACACTCCAATAGTAAGGATACCTGTCTTGTCAACGGGGAGAACCGTTTCGTAGCGACATCGCTCTCGATGAACGATTTGTCCTGGATAGATTGCCGGATGACCATTTTCGGCTAAATCTGGAAGATGAGAAAAAAAGGTATAACAGTTTATTGCCCTAGTTTACAACAGTCCAGTAACCCAAATAGATAAGAGTGAGTGCAATCCAACAGCAGGGAAAAAAATGCGTAGCTGACATAGATTTTTTATAATGTGTTCAAAAAAGTATAATGTAAACATACAGCGCTGATAGCGAGTTCATAGACGCGAGCTCTTATCGTAAAACTGGCTAATGGATTTAAAGCGCACGGAAGATTGCTAAGAGTTTCATATACCATATGAGTTTGAATAGTAAACAAATTATGATATAAGTAAGGTTGTAATTAAAACATATGACCAAGATATAAAAAAATGCGATACAGATATTTGATAATGATGATAATGATAATAACCTTAAATGCAACCATATTCTTTATCCTGGATAATAGTTGATGCAAGTTTTATTTTTATGTCCCCCTCACTTTTAAAATTACAAGGGGCAAAAAATCAATCATATTCAAAATCGTCACTCCTAAAACAACAAAAAAATTTGTTTTTATTATTAAATTATTAATTTATGATTACATAATGTTCATGGAATTTTTTTTCGTCTATTATTGTTTATTTTTATTTTTATTTGTCTTGGATTTTTGAACTTTGAATTGCTCAACCTTTTGCCCCTGAGACCATTTGTCCGATTGACGGATTATCTCTTGGACCTATATAGACTATATAGATATAGACTACGAACTGCCGACAAAGTACCACAGAAAGTGCAAGATTTTATATCCCTGCCGTCAATATAAGTAAAACGCAAATGGTCGCTGATAATTTTCTTCCTAGCCAATTGCATAAAACTGACTACATATGTTCAATTTGCTTCACAGCTATATTAATAAATAGGCATATTAATCAAAGCTTTGTATCGTTGATCAAAAGCCTCTTCTTTTAAAACGGATAAGAACATCCCTCCAGTTTACTTATTATAGCAAACGATCATTATGACAAATGACTTTATAACAAACGGCAATATACCAAACGACACTATTACAAACGATGCACCTTTTTATCGTCCCAAACCATCTTTTGCGATAGCATTCAAATCCTGATTAATGATAATGAAATTACATTGACTTTAATAAAATATAATCAAACGAGATTTGAACAAATTATCTCCATACAGTATCATACACTGTTATCAACAACCGATTGAAAAAAATATATATAAACAATTATAAAGTCTCACTCACATTTCAATCGAACTTGGGACGAATTAAAACAAATAATGTAAGAAATAATAAATTCTAGCGCATGGTCCATTCTAGTTTTTTTTTTCTGGGAAATGATCCAATCTGAGGAAAATATTTCTTGCAAATGGTACGAAGGAAACACTCGATTCCTTGGTATTTCAGCTTAAATTTGATTAGATGTTTACAACTGAGCAAACACTGTTAGAGTACGGCAGTGTGAAAATTGAATAGAAGTTGAAAATGAGCGAAAGGCCTTTCTACCTACCCTCTCCTAAAGACCATTCTCTAGCTAATAAATTATCACACTAAAGCTTCATGTTAGATAGCATTTCCAACCAACTTTAAAAATCGCAACTTTGAGTTGCCAATAATAAAGCAGCTCTCTAACACTCTGTTCACATGCAAAAGTTGCCGATGAAAAAGACGTTGCCGATAATAGTCGCATGCAGTCGATAAATTTGGAACGTTTTAAAACAGTTTTAAGCCTTTCTATCGATTTGAATGGATAGACGTGGGGGAGGTAGCTCATCGATTCTTCCGGTTCGCCTCCTAGCATCGTGCTATAAGGTACCAGGCGATAACCAGGGTAGTTGATCGATAGCTCGATGACGTCATTTCGTTGGCGTCTGCTATGGGAAATTCTCATAGCAGGCGTTGACGATGGGACGTTGTCGAGCTGTTGAATAGCAACTATCGTGGTAACTCACCGATTATCTGTCGATCTGCCAAATTTGGAAAGACGTCTGCATTGAATTGTCTCATATAATAATATTCCGTCCACTATATCACACGAAATTGCGAGTAGTTGAGTGGAATGGAGATAAGTTAAGCATTGGGTACAGGACCAAGTCTCCCCTGGGTGGTGCCAGAAGATGAGCGCAATAGAATCATCAAGTTGCCATGAGGCACGGAATGAGACTATTGCATGGCTGGGTAGTCAAAGTCTTCCATTCGTTAGTCATTTCAGGTGGATTAGAACAGGTTTAGGTTTAGGGTGGGCGTTGGCCAGATTTGGATTTTTCGGATATAATCCTAAATAGGACCTAGATTATTTAATACTTAATAGGCTAGTAACCTCAACTTCTGTCACAATGTTTCATTGTGACTAATCAACACTCAATGGGTAAAATATCAAATTTGCGGTAAATTTGAAAAAAAGGGAACTTGGAGTGTAAAGTCCACTGCCCACTGGACGATTCTGAAGCCTGACCAAGTGAGTGGGTTACGGGTTTATTTGATTGTACGTCATTTACAAGTTATATATAGATACATTCATACCATTGGCATTTTGTATTTGAGATAAGACAGAGACAGGATGCGGAGGGCCCGCTTAGGGGGAGCGTAACCCATGTTATGGCTTCCATTTATTAAATAGTTCAGATAGGCTGGAAATGATAGGTTCATGGTGAGAAAATGTACCATATGGTGCCCGTTCACTGATCAAAATTAGATTCAAATCGTCAGGCCCTGCCCTGGAATAAGGGAATTGACGATGATTTGTCAAGTTTCATTTTGCATTTGCATATAATTGTAAGTTTAGGTTTGCTTTTGTAATTGTAAGATAGATAGTTTGCCTCAATTGAAACATTGAGTTAAACATGACGAATCATACCTCTAAAATAGTAGTAGTTACAGTGCCGCATTATCTAACTTTTGTTTTGATTGTTTACATATAACTAATACTAATACCTCCTTGTTTTCTCTCTAATTTGTCTACTATGTCCCACCATCACGATAAGAGATGAGCTACCGTACATGGTACACGCTCATATACACTCCCAAAATAGTATGCCGCAAGTAAGTATATCACAGAGGCAACTAAAGATCCAGAAACAAAAACCGAAAACGCTGAACGGCAGATTGGTTTACAGTGGTCGACCAGGGTGTGTGCTGATAAATTACAAAATTACAATTACATCATTATTCCATACATCAGCTTGAATTACGTTGATCGATATTAGATTTTTTTTTGCTGTGCACTACACCACCAGAGCCAGCAAAGTTCAACAATCCATCGTTGCTTATGCCTTTGTTGTCGTTTGGAACCAGTTTTGCGAGGTAGGTGACGATTGTGCGTATTTTTCGCGTAAATTTTGAAAAGGGCCTAGCCTGAACAATACTTAAAGAGCAAATTGAAATATTGTACGTCGCGTGAAAGTGGAACTTAATGAAGGCCTAAGTACTTTTTCGTAGTTTTTAGTTTTCGGATTTGAAAGATCGTCGGTTACAGTGGCCTGCTTACTAAGCAGAAAAACGCGGTCCCAGGTCCTTACATATCAAAAAGATTTATAGTAAAATCGCTTGTGTATCGTGTATTTTGCGAAACTCGTTGTTGTCGTTGGTTCCGGGTTTGAATGGATACAAAAATTAGAGCAACGGTATTATGTGATATGAGGGGCTCGGTAGCCTTAGAGCAACCGTTTTTGCTTACTGAGCAGAACATCATGAGTCTAATCTCAGGCCCATCCACAATCAAGATTCGTCAATTGTTTTATTTGTTAATATGACTGCATGGTAATAACAGCAACTCGGTGATTAAAAAGGTGCTCGTCTGCCTAGTGGCAAACGTTTTTGCTTACTGAGCAGAAGACCGTGGGTTTAGTCCCAAGCTCCTTCGCGTTATATGATCGTTAGGACATTAATTCAGCTTATCGTTTACCAAAACGAACCCTGCTGCAAACCCAACCCTCTTATCCAACATCCCAGTGATTCCTCGTGGAAGTGCAGAGGTGTTCTCGGCTTCCATCAAAGCGAGTGTCATGTCAACACAATCCTTCCCATTCCTTTCTTGACCTGTGTTCGGGCGCGGCCGGCGCTGGTATTGCCTAATTTAAGATCACCAGTTTTTACACATTGAGGATGATTGCTAGTCCCAAGCATCGTCTATTGGTTCTCTGTGTAATTACAGCTGATCTGGCAATAACAGAGTAGCAACCGTGGGCGGTCAATCAAGCTCAAGCTCAAGCTCAAGCTCTATCGATTTGAATGGATAGAACAGCAGGCAGCAGATGGATGTAAACAAATAAACACTGCATGCGACATGTCGAAAAAATCGTCCAGAAGCGCGAATGGTGCTGAGCAGTTGCACGGAAAATGACAAATCGGAAAAGCTCGATTTCCTCCGATTGGCATAAAACGTTGTATAAAGGGTGTCCCATATCAAATTGCATCACGGAAAAAAACGCTGTAGAAAATTACCCATTGGGTATTTTCTCTTGAAAATTTGGGTAGACAAAGTTTAGAGTGTATTGTTTACACTATATTTTTATCGCTTTCAGTTTTTCGATTGTTGGAAAAAATGGCGTCACCCGAAAAGTATCGTCGCGAATTGATTTTGCGCAAGCACCTGAAAAATCCTCAACTCTCTCATCGGGACATCGGAAAACAACTCGGAATCGTGCAGTCAACAGTGAGTCGTGTGATTAAACGTTACTACGAAACTCTGAGCATCGAACGGAAGGAGAAATTGTGGTCAGAATCGATGTTAGTATTCAGGATCACAAGCGTGTCGTGAAAGCGTTTAAGCGGAATCCCAATGCTTCGGTCAGGGATGTGGCCAAAAAGTTGAACCTGTCCAAATCTTTCTTTCAGAAAGCCAAGGACCGGGAAGTACTGCATACGTACAAAGTGCAGACGAACGGCAAAGCACGGTGGGAAAGTCACGGGCCCGGAAACTGTACATCCAGATGCTGACGAAGCCTCATTGTCTCATCATGGATGATGAGACCTACGTCAAGGCGGACTTCCGACAGCTTCCAGGGCTACTGTTCTTCACCGCCCAGCACAAGTTTGATGTTCCGCAGGACGTAACGAGGCAGAAACTTTCAATGTTTGCCAAGAAAATACATGATTTGGCAAGGGATCTGCTCATGAGGCAAACGGAGTGATCCAAGGGGGACGAAACTCCCTGATTTATTCAAATTGTATCAAAAACTTATGTTTATGTTGATGAATTGATTTATATCTGAATAAATCCATTTTATCCGATATAATCGCGCTCAAATCTCTAAAATGAATACTATCGTTTTTTATCGATCACATCTCTAACATATCGGATCACATCTCTACCTATAACATAGAGATTGCTAAAGTATGATTGTGTCAGTGATTTGTTTTCATCGGGAAAATTTTCCGCTACGAAGTTTTTTTTTTCCCGATGAAAACATTTTGCGTATACGTATACGTGATGTAGTGTGTGTACGATAAACGTCAGCAATCTCTATGACAGATAACGATATTCTGAGGACGACGAAGAAGGATCGTCCCTTCGCGAATAGCTAAAGGGTGATTGTGTCAGTGATTTGTTTTCATCAGGAAATGATACGCGACGTAGTGTGCGTACGATAAACTTCAGCAGTCTCTATGTGATTGAACAATGTGAATTTGTCGTCTTTTTCGTTTGCTGTTATATGGTTGACAAAGTGAAGCATTGTCTAATTGCAATAGAGAAAAAAAAAGCGCGAAAAGATGTGAACGAAGGTCTTTCAAGTCGGAGATGGAAGAGGATCAAATCAAAAGAATTTCGGTCCGATGGCTGGATTTTGAAAGAATTCGATTAGGAGTGGAAGACCAGATCTTACAAAAGAAATGCATGGGTTGAGAGCATCCTACGGAGAGTACCAGAGTGAGTTTATACAGGTTTATCAATCGGGGAATGGTTTGGGTAAGGGTTCGAAAAGGTTGGCACGATCGGGGATTATGGGCCGTAGAAGAAGATGGTAGAGCTCGGTATGACACTGAGAAACGCAATCTGCTAAATCCCTAATCCGGTCTTATTTAGTCCACGGCGAGGTCCGCGGTAATGTCCACACACTTAGAAAATTTGATGTAAATTTAGGTGCTCTGAGAGTGACATATACGAGCGTCAATTTTGACATAAAATTGATTTATGACAAAATTCAGATCAATCAAATGTACTTTTCGTCGAGCAACGAACTTTTCAGTCTCGGAGCACTTAATTTTACATGACATGTTTGTTTACGTCTCATCCTTTATGTCAAAGATGGTTTCCGTCACGTGTAAAGTTAGTTATTTCTAAGTGTGCATGTCATTTCAATAATAATGTGGACTGAAACTGGCGAGTGAAATGATTGCGAAACCAAATATAATATACAAGTTTTCCTCACCAAGAACTGCATTGCCAAACTGCCATTCCATGAAATTGTGATTGACCGAATTGGGGATCTTCAACTATTCGGTACGAGATTGGGTACTTGGAACTATTGAGAATCATATTTATTTCCGCACAAATTTTAGAAAATATCAGAACGCAGCAGCTGTTGCTGGCTAGTTATTGGCGAATTGAGCCTCGATTAAGAAAGTGACAGACAGTCACACTGTTTTACACACTAAACATAATATGAGCGACCAGTTAGATAATTCTGATTCATTCAAGATTATCGATGAAAAGTGGATGAAATCGGATGATATCGGCAAGCGCGTGTTATTATTCATTACAAATCGAAATTATTCAAATAAATCCAAATTATGATACAAATTTTATTGAAATCCCTGGATTACTTTTGTCCCCCTCGGAGTGAGCCGTTCGTGACTACCGGGACTGTAAACGGGGAGATCTACCGGGGAGATCTGCTTCCTCTGTTCAAGCAACACGAGGGCCCTACGATCTTCTGGCCGGATCTAGCTTCTAGATCTAGATCTAGATAAGCTAACGGGGTCTCTTTCATACCCATGAAACCCCCAAACGCAACGGAACTAAGGCCCATCGAAAAATACTGGGCTATTATTGAGCAGGCACTACGGAAGCATCCCAAGGAGGCCAAATCTGAGGAAGACATGAAGAAAAAGTGGGTTTCCGTACCAAAGAAGCTACAACCAGATGTTGTACAGAACCTAATAAGTGGAGTTAAGCGTAAGGTGCGAGCGTACGGTTATGGACTTAATTATCTTAAAGATAAATCGTCCATGTGGGTCATCATCACTGAAAGAGTAGAGTAAAATAAACTATGCTTCCGAATTTAACTGGACTGGACCACTCTTTATTCGTATAAACGCAGTATAATTTCCGTGAAAATTAAGTTATTAAAGTAGCATTATTTTGAATAAAATTAATGTACCGTTAAACGGGGGTGATATTGATCATTGAAATAAAGTTGAACACTACGCCGTTCAATTTTCGTTTCTCGACAATCCTTATTGATGATATTGTTTTTGGGTAATTTGTTTAGTATTTTATCAAGTAGATTTAAATAGGTAGAACAATGCTGTGGAAGGGATAAAATATGCAACTTTTAACTGTTCCTTATAGTCTTATCAGAATTAGCATTTATTCTGGTGCAGTCTTCGATGAAATTACTTATTTTATTTTATTTCGCTGAGTCTGAATCTGAAATCAGATATCATTGAAATGAACGATTTAGTATAATAAAAATAATTTTATGTGAAAATTTTATGTTAATTCCTACATTTAGGCGAATTTTATAGTATTTTTCAGCAAAATTGCAGTTTTTTCGCCCCCTTGTTTTACGAGTAAAATCATCACTATAACTACACCCTGGAAATTACACCAAGCCTCGAAAATTAATTCCATAAGAATAAGGATAAAATCATTTATATGCTTTAGTTAACGAATGCTTGATCATTGTATGTATTTAATTACCTTGCTCCGACAAGTATCATTGGACTAATCACGATGTCATGAAGGATTTTTCAAACATGAGTAGCTTCTTGCGGTAATATTGTCACAGTAAGCTTGATCGTTCTCCCAAATTGGATATACATTATAAAATGCTAAAACAGCTAACTTAAATTTCTTTCGTTTTGATGATGATGAAGTATTGTTTCTTAAATTTTCGGCTTAACCATTTCGAATACCTAAAACCCCAATTTTTCAAACGATCCAATTGTACTAGCACATTAAAAACATTGGCATATGTCTAATTGTAAACATGCGAAAACAACTGTGGAGTTTTTCTAGGTGTGTGAATCTTCAATAACCCGCAATTAGAATAATCGATCACGTCTATTTTCTACGTTAAATCTGCAATTCAATATTGCATACAAACAACTGCGATTGTCATTGTTCAAATTTATTCAGACAAGCCTCCGATATGGGTATTCGTACGCTTGTTAACTGCCCGCTTTATGTGAATAAATCAATTTTGTTCCATGCGTTCCTACATAATAATTTTAAAGCTGGAATCAACACTAAAGTAAAGATCAGTAACCAGAATAGTCTGAAATATACTGATCTAAATAATAGTAAATCTGGTTTATAAACCACTCACTTCATGCGCAAAAATCAAAAAATTCAAGCATGTTGAAATTCTCTGGTATACCTGCTTCGCGGGACATTGTCCCCATGGTATGATATACGCTTTTGTACAAATACATAGTACATACGTAATATTTGTCACAGTCTACAAATTAAGACGGTTGCATTTCATATCAGCTAAGATGCCATAAAACACGTTATCAATGTCAGCAATGATTCTTCACGACCTTGTCAAGAAACCGATTATGTCAATACCGCATATTGAGTTCATTTCCAGCGTAAACATGCTGTTGAATCACCGTGTAAATCATCTACAGACGTCGAAATTTGCTTCTCGCCACAACGATCAAATAAATGAACACCTAAAAGCATATACCATTTCATCATCACTTCTTCATGCTTCAACATCCTTGAGAAACGACTTTCGTTCCACCACCGTCGATCGACTGCACTTACCTGAATCACCCAAAACTCAACGAACTTTATGCTCTGCCGCTGTATCTAGGTCACCAGTGTGAGACGTAGCTGTGGCCCCGAAAATTCGTCTCCGATGCAAGCGCGTGGTGTAGATCAGCTGTTCAGCGCACGCTAATCATCTCCACTAAGGGACAGCAAAACAAAAAAAATCCTCGTCACTCGTACCGTCTCGAAAAATCAATTTTCGTCGTAAATAGCCAGCTATTGCATACCCCAGCGATCTAATTCGGATTTGCAAGCAAGGGTTTGCGGAACAGCAAGGCTGCCGGCACAAAACTATTCTTCCGACTAGACTCGGCGAACACTGCACCCGAAGTACATACAGCACAGAGTTTCTCACTCTCAGCACTATTCAAACAAACTCTTGGTATGGCGACTGATGCATCACTTTCCACTTGAGAAGCTCCTCACCTTTGCGTGGTTTGGCATTGATTACAAGTCAACGTTACAGCAGCAGTAGCAGCACTGTGTTAAAAAATCGTTACCAAAAGAAATTGAACTCTGTTTTAAACTGGTGCTGATATCCACACGATATTAATTATCATGTCGGTTCCTCGGACGAAACAATCGCGCGTGCGCAGCTTATCACACTAATCGATTACACACAGCAAAAAAATAATTTTGATATCACGTCAAAGTGGATGCACTACAATCATGTCGAAAATATGGTGTAATATTACTTGCTAAAAAGGACAAAATTATCATTAATACAATGCATGAACTGACATTACGCTGCTTTTACTGCATTTGTTTATTTATGTGGTCATAAAAATTACATGAAATTTTCGACATGATTGTAGTGCATCCACTTTGATGTGATATCAAAATTATTTTTTTGCTGTGCAGTTTGAATTTCAACAACACTCTAGCTGCGCGTCCATGTGGTTACGGCGGCGCTCGGAGGAAAAAGCGCAGGTCAACCGTCCGTCCGAATGTGTGGCTCGTAAGGGACTGAACTGAGCATTGGCCGTTCGACGAGTACGAAGATTTGCGCTGTTGGAGAAATGTGAGAGCGCAGTAGCGTAAGGTGTTGGTCTACTAGAAGCAGGGTTGAAAAAATCACCAGCATTCACTATGAAATGACTTTGATGAATTTTAGTGATGAACGTGGGCGTCTTAGTGGAATACCTGTATTAAGAGAGAGAGAAAGATTACTAATTTCCATTTAATTCAACTACCTTATTCGCTTATCCTTGACAGATACGCGTATTTCGTCTACGTCGTCAGTCGAGTATTAGTACAAGACACTGAAAAAGTCTGCACATTTTAGACGAAATACGCGTATCTGTCAAGGATAAGCAAATAAGGTAGTGGAATTAAATAGAAATTACTAATCTTTCTCTCTCTCTCTCTCTTTATGAATTTTAGTTATTTTTCTTCAGCCCCGACTAGAAGACGATTTAATCTTATAGGCCTAAAAAACGTGGCCTTTCGCTGTCATCTAGATAAACGTCGTGATGTTGCCCGGTGAGATACCGGCAGATAGGCTGACTTGCACTACCACTTCGAATATTCTTGTGAATCTCGGATACTATTGTGATTTCAGGCATGAAGTTTGCCTGGGGAAGCAGTTTTGTTATTGTATGTTTTCCGGTAGCTTGACAATTATACTCCGGGAAATGCGAAGTTTCAACAGAGGAAGGCTTCCAGGTCGTATTATCTATTTGTCCAATAATGTTTTTTTTTTAGGTTTCGGTAATTATCCCCCAAAGTAAAAATCAAATTTATTTAAAGTACACTGAACCCACAGTAAATCAAATGGAAGTGATACACGATTGGGGGTGACCCATAATTGTGAGAGCAGTATACTTAATTCGAAAAATACAAGAATTTCAAAACTTCTCTCTCACACCCAGCCATTCAAAAAAAAATTTAATCTGTACAATCAAATCGTTTTTTAAGGTGGTCGCGAGATGCCAAGTTGTATAGGCCTATCACAGACAAACAGACGTAACTCTTCGTTCTGGATAATTTTCCACCCATTTAACGATTGATTTGAATATTATTATTTCCGCAAATTACTCACCGAATTTTTTTTTGTGCATAATATCTAGATCCTTACAATTTTGCAGGTTAACAGTTTCTTGTTCGTTTTTCATGTTTTCTTGAAGCTTACTTATTACTAACGTTTATTATGGGAAACCGATCATTCGCGGCGGACTTGGGGTTAGTAAACACATTCATCTACGCTCAGTCCTCAGAAACTTTCATACAGACTTTTGTCATTCATACGCATAGCACGCATACCTTCTGACAGGGAAAGGGGTCATTAACCTAACTTATCCTACTTAACCTATTGATTGTGATCCGATTGTCAGTTTTCTTATATATGAAGAAACTTGCGTACTTCGTTACTAACTAATGAATGGTTGAAAGTGTACAATAAACCATTTCCTATGATTCCATCTTTCTTCATCAATTACATTTTTAAACTTTTGTGACCGTTTAGTTACAATGTCCTAGGTTTTAATTTGTGCATGTTGTTTTAGGAAGCTGTAGTGTTTTTTCAGTGTCAGTGTTGGGTTGGTAGGATTAGATTGAAATTGATATTTTTATAAACTTAAATGGGCGAGACAGGATTGAAAGGGTGTTGTAATCAACTGTGGTAGAAAAACTGAATAGGCGAAGGAGATGATATGGATGGGTGGTGATAAGCTACAAGGAAAGAAAATGGAGGAAATAAGGAACGAATTGTAAACTGGATGGGAAAAGGAGAGCTTTTGATAGCAGGGATGGTGAACCATTGCCAGAAGTATACCGGCGTTCGTGCGTACAAGACGTGAGTGGAGTCAAGACTATAGTGAACCGAACAAAGTGCCTCAAAGTGCAGTGAACAACCTCCTTCTGTTCCGTTCAGGAACTTTTTTAATTGTTCCACGAACATCCTCACGATCGGCACGTTTCGACCAAGTCAGTCTCGACTGTCTTGGTCTAAAACTCAAGGACCTTCCACTCTCCGGATTTTAATTGCCAGAAAGGAGAGCATCCTCGGACTCGGAAGTCCTAATCGTTAAGGAGGAAGACCCTCCTCGGCTCGACAAAGGTGGCCTTGTCACGGTCAGCTGATATTTTCCAACGAAGGGAGATGCCGTTGCCAACAGAAAAGGCTACTTCGGTAGCTGCACAGGGATCGCTACATTCCCTGGTTGCGAACAGCCATCGTAACGCTCAAACACAAGCCACCGATCCGCCATTGTCGTGACCACAGCTCCAGTCACCAGGCGCCATCTTCCAGCCCAGTTGAAGCCACCGATCCGCCATTGTCGACGGAGTGATCAAGCCACGGACCGCCATCGCGGTCAAACAACATCGGCTTCAACACAATCACTACCCGCGAGCGCTCGCCATCGTCCGGCAAACACCACCGGTACTTACCAAAGAAGCAGAAACCCATTGAACACACCCCACAATAGCCCAATAAAACCATCCGCACCATAATGCCATTTTAATAAATTTCTAGACTTTTTCCACCCACACTTTAGCTTTCAATTTCACCATCACTAGAGAAATCTTACAGTTTCTGCACACTTTGTTCCGCGAACCCCTTCCGAATTACCCAGTAGCATGCCGGCCCTGTGACACAGTTCAGGCACAGACAAACAGACATAACACATTGAATATTTCTCACTGTAAAACATCGTCGCTAAAACATTACCGCCATCGTCCGCTGGTTTTGGTATTTATTACGAATTTCATAGCGCCTCTCGAATGCTTCAAGCTCCTTGTTCCGTATATGTTGCTGAGCTGGCGGCAATACATTATACGATAGAAACCATCGCCCCACTTTCACCAGATCACTACTTTATTTTTACGGATAGTTTCAATTCTGTCGAGGCTATTCGCTCTATGAGGCCGGTAAAGCACTCCTTGTAGCTTCTAAGCTTCTAAGTGCTTTATCTTTAAGATCTTTGTCATCACCTCATTGCTTGATTCCGGGCAATGAGATGGCGGACTCACTTGCTAAGGTGGGCGCTATGGAAGGCTATATGTCTTCTTCTTCTTCGCATTTCAAGCTTATTGCATATCGCATATTAGCTTATTGCGTGCTCTCAACTTAGTGTTCTAGATGCACTTCCACAGTTATTAATTGAGAGCTTTCGATGCCTGTACCATTTTTGCATTGGTATAATTGTGTGGCAAGTCCAATCATACTTCTATGCCCAGGGAAGTCGAGAAATTTTCCAACCCGAAAAATTCCTAGACCGGACCGAGAATTGAACCCAGCCACCTCCAGCATGGTCTTGCTTTGTAGCTGCGCCTTTACCGACTGAGCTAAGGGAGGCCCCGGAAGGCTATATCTACGATCGACAAATCGCCTACGATAAATTTTTCTTCATTTCACGTCAACAGTCGCTCGCCAGCTGGCAGAATAAATAACGTGAAGGTAGTTTGGGACGATGGCTATATTCGATCATCCCTAAGGTGTCGAAGAGTCCTTGCTTCAAAGGGTTGGATGTGGGTCGAGACTTCATTCGTGTGATGTCTCACCTCATGTCCAATCACTACTCGTTAAACTCTCACTTGTTCCGTGTTGGGCTGGAGGACAGCAATCTCTGTGAATGTGGACAAGGTTACCAAGAGGCAGATCACATCATCTGAGCTGTACGATTCCATTCGGGCTCGAGGTAGACAACCTAATGTTCCAGTTCGGGATGTATTGGCTAGACGCGATCTGGAGTTTATGAAACTCATACATGTTTTCCTGAAGAATATTAACCTTAGATTGTTAGTTTGATTAACTTTGTGTTTCGTTTGTATTCTGTGTGTTTGCTTTTTTTTTAGTTTTTGTTTTTGATATAATTGTAAAATTATAGTGCTGATAACAAGTTGAATAGAAATAAGTTCATGTTTTAGAAATAGTGAAATCTCCTCCTCCCTCTCCCCGTCCATAAAGTTGTAAACCTCCACTAACCTCGAGACGACCGCGAGTATTCGGTTCAATCCCTGTAACTCTAGATTTAAGATTAGGATTAAGTATGTATAACGAAAATGATAACTTGGCTCTGTAAAGTTTATTCGATTGAGCCTGTACAAATAAATCAATTAATAAAAAAAAGAAAAAAAATCTGTTTGGTACACTGTGGTGGGTAGTACGCTGAACAGATGGCGGTAGTGGGTAAACGTCAGATGCAAGGAATTTGATAATGCGCGCCACAGGTGTTGGTACTACCAACTACGATTCTTTTAAATTTACCGTTCAATGCTTGTTCGATGAACAACTTGTGAGTGTTACGTCTGTTTGTCTGTGGTTCAGGGGTCTCATGCTACTGAGCTAGTTATCCGGGACTCTTGGTTGAGCCACTAGGGTGAGTCTCATCTAGTCTCACTTTTCTAGACTATCTATGCCATTTATCCCATAACTCTTCAGATTGAACATTATATCTTCTACTGTTAGACATTAAACCGCTTTGTGTTTATAATCTCCTTTCCCTAATTGTATTGATAAAATTTCATCCGGATTTTCAATCTCTACTTTCATTCT